ACCCCTGGCCTCTGAGCTTGTCCAGCAAGAAGGGAATGATGTTGTCTTCTGGCATGGCCGACAGTTCCGAGAGAAGATCGTTGCCTTCGTGCACCGGAGACTCCTCATTCTACGAAAACAAAACACAATTTTAAAAAGTTGTAGAAGTGTCTTCCGGCACTTACAACACAATAACGTCATATGAGTGCCTAAGACTAGAGGTGTTACAAGACGTGCACATCTGTTCCGGGTTTTTAGTTTCAGTTAGTGTTTTACGGAACTTACAACACAATAAGGTCATACAAGTACAGAAGATTAAAGGCGTTACAAGAGAGTAACAAATACAAAACAGAAGGGAGATACAGACGATAGATGTTAGATTAGAAAGAAATCTGAAGCAAACCACACCTGAGCATCCGCCAACCACCCAAACATCTGCCACGAGTGAGTGGACTGAACTTCTGCAATACAAATACAAGTCAGCTGAACTACCTGTGCGTGGGTCTCAAGTGAATGGACTAGACTACTGCGATACAAACAAGTCAACTAGACTCACCTGCAGGTCTGTCCCGAGTGAGTGGTGACCGGCGCCGGTTCCTCCTGGCCAATGTCAAAGTCTGAGCTGTCCTTCAAGGCATCCACGTTAAACTTCAAGGTCACTGAAAACACACAAGAAATCCCTGAACTACGTAACAGATGGACATTTCAAATTATCTTTGACAAGAAACTTTACTCCATGTTGGAATAATAATGAAATAAAGATATTAAATATCTCTCTCTCTCTCCCTCCTTCCCTCTCTCTTACAGACGAACACTACACACATACAAACACACTTACGTCAGCATCCACAAATACAATTGCAAATGTAAAAAAAAGGTAAACTCAGCCCTTACAACTGCTTCATAGTAACGTAAAACACACCAACCTGTCTATGTTAGTTTTAGTTTAGTAAGGGGTTTTACGGCACTCGCAACAGCATAAGGTCCTATGAGCACGCAACCTGTCTGTGATCATTTTCGTAACAAAACCTATGTTATCCACATCTGTCTTTGTCCTACCGGAGTTATGGAGGGGGGGGGGGGGGGGGGGGGAGAGATAAAGAGAAAGGGAGACGGGATAGAGAACATGAGCTAGAAAAGCGGAGCGAAGGAGAGAGAGGGGAGCATAAGAAAGCACAGTTGTGCTATAAAACTGCTTTCTCACTTGAGCTTGACAGAGATATGAGATACAAATTTCTCCCCACTTGGGAATCGAACATGAGTCTCCAGCACACCACTGCAAAGCAACTAACCGTTACACCAGTAAAAATAACTTCAAGCAATGCACATCCCCCACCCCTATGATCCCACAAACAGCTTTAACCTCCCCCCCCCCCAAAAACACCCATAGAAACAAAACAAAAAAACCCCTCCTCTAGCAAACTATAAAAAAGTTGGGCATAACGTAGGCTCTCAACAAAAAAAAAGACCCCCCCCCCCCCCAAAAAAAAAAAAAAAACCCAACTCACGTGAGTCAATGGGTCCAATCTGGCGAGCTTTGCCGACCAGCATAGAGGGCGACATGTACTGGGGAATGCGGGCGAAGAGAACAGCGGGGTCGTCTGCCGTGAGCAGACCCAGACTCTCCTGTAGCGCTCGGAACCCTGGGGTGGCCAGCGCCGACTCTAGCTCCTCGTTCCACGGCACAATGGGCACAGACTTGTTTTGTACTGCACGGGAGAGGGGGGGAAGAAGGGTTAGTTTTAGTCTGAGTAAGGTTTGCGATGCTCGCAACGGCATAACATCATATGAGCGCCATGGGGTGGATGTCAACAGAGAAGTCCAACAGTTCAAACTTTGTAACTTTGTGTAAATGAGGAACAAAATCAACAATTCACTCTTTGGTAAATGAGGACTAAAATCAACAATTCACTCTTTGGTAAATGAGAAACAAAATCAACAGTTCAAACGTTGTGTAAATATTTTGTGTAAATGGGGAACAAAATCAACAATTCACTCTATGTTAAATGAAGTATAAAATCAACAATTCAACTTTGAGTAAAGCTTTGTGTAAAGGAAGAAAAAATCCAACAATTCACACTTTGTGTAAACGAGGAACAATACAAACAATTCACACTTTGTGTAAATGAGGAACAAACAAACAATTCACACTTACGAGCAAAGAACTTGGGAACCGGCTCCTCCACATATATTCTGTAGGCTGAGTCTTTGATAGCTGCGGACAAACAGACAAGGATAAGACGTTAGAAAACAAAAGTCATTCAGTGTTTCCCATTTGTCAGAGTCAGAGCAGCCTTCAAAACTTCCAAGCAAACTTAACATTATTTTGTTTAAAACTTTTTTTAAAAATAGCAAAGCTTAGCAGAGTACTTGATAGAGAGAGAACACCTTGTCCTCATGGCTTACGGGATTCGATTCTTGAATCTCCATTTATTTATTTACTTATTTTTTAATTCTATTTCATTTTATTTTATTTTATTTATTTATTTATTTATTTATTTATTTTTTTTTTTGGGGGGGGGGGTTGTTTTAGTATGCCATTTAGGCCACTTACAAAACAATTAGGTCATTAAAGTGCTGAAAATTAGAGGTGCTGCAAGAAGGTTTCAAACATAAAAAAGAAGTTTTAGTTTCAGTAAGGTTTTATGCCGCTCGCAACTGCATAAGGTCACATGGGCGCCAAGGGGTGGATGTCAACAGAGAAGTCTAAACGGGGAATCAGCCTTACTTCACAGAGATAGAAAAAACAATAAGAAGAGCGTGGATATGCGTCATATAAAAGCAATTATTATTATCATCAATATCATACTATTATTATTACTGTTATTTTTACGACAGAGAGTGGGTTCACACAGATTGAAAAAACAATAAGAAGAGCAATCTCTTGCCGAGGTGACTCACCTAACTTGACGTAGGCCGTCTCTAGGAGCTGTTTCTGCAGCCACACCAGCTGAGACTCAAACCCCTGGCCTCTGAGCTTGTCCAGCAGGAAGGGAATGATGTTGTCTTCTGGCATGGCCGACAGTTCCGAGAGAAGATCGCTGCCTTCGTGCACCGGAGACTCCTCATTCTACGAAAACAAAACACAATTTTTAAAAAATTTTAAAAAGTTGTAGAAGTGTCTTCCGGCACTTGCAACACAATAACGTCATATGAGTGCTGAAGACTAGAGGTGTTACAAGAGAGTAACACACACAAAATAAAAGGAGGGGAGATAAAGACGATAGATGTTTGAAAAGAAAGAAGAAGCAAACCACACCAGAGCACCCACCAACCACCCATTAACAGACAAAAGTCGTCACACAATTTTATATAGACCGGACTCTTTAATACTGGAGGTCTGCCAGTATTTTTTAAAGTACAGTACCACACCCCCCCTTCCACACGAAGTTGGCTCTGGCAACTGTGGCAAGATGCTGATTTCAATTAATCCACAATGGAGGATTTTCAAGGAAATAATCCCACAGTAAACTAAACTGTATGAAAAAACATACACGCATTATTCCAAATCTCAAGAGGTATCCATCTAAAGAGTAACATACAAAGAAAAGAAGGCAGGGGGATAGCCATGATCGATGTTGTGATAAAAAAATCCATTTATGACAGCTGTAACAAGAGCACATGACGAAAGCTAACAACTTCGTGCCCCTACATCTGCCTTGTGTAATTCAGTATCTGGGTCTGCATCAACGCACAGCCCAGCTTTTTCACTTACCAAACACTGACACATGCACACACAACAAAGACACAGGAGACAGACACATCTGTATGTTACTTACTTGTCCCGACCTTGATGATGAGGAGAGCGATGACGTTGATGATGACGATGATAACTCTTCGATGAAACCGTTGACCGTCAGGAATTTGGTCACCTGGTGAAAGATGTATTTAGACGTAAGTCCACAATGTCCACTTTGGGGAACAATAAAAACCAAACAACAACAAGTGGTCCTGAACCAAGGCTCCACTAAATGTTTTCTGTAACATAGGATAACAACTCCAGCAACAACAACAATGTACACCACTTTGGGTTTGAATTCTTCAGCCTTATCATATTTAACAGAGGCCCAATACATCTTTTTTCAATTTCGTTAGTGTTTTACAGCACTTGCAACACAAAAAGGTAAAAAAAAAGTGCCAAAGATTACACGTGTTACAAGAGAGTAACAAACACAAAAAAGAAGGAGGGGAGATAAAGATGATAGATGTTTGATAGGAAAGAAGGAGTAAACCACACCAGAGCACCCGCCAACCACCCACCAATACATCTTGAATCCACTTTTATTTAAAGAAAGAAAGGAACTGGGACAATTTCAGAAATCAAATTTCAAGAATTATCCCACAAACCCGCACCTCCATTACACTACACACACGATATAAAATGGGGTTATAACAGCTGTTTTAAATTGTACATGGTGGCCTATCTCTCCTAGCTGACTCTGACCTGCTCTTTGGTCTTGGTAAATCCGTGCTCCTGAAGACGTTGGTGGATCCGGTCGGCCATGTTGCTGCTACCCTCAAGGTCAGCGGCCCAGGAGAAGATGAGAGCCTGTTCCTCGTCACCGAACTCCTCCCCGGAGCTACTGCTCACATTCATCGCGCTGGAAGACACAACACAGAGAAAGTGTAAGACACAACGCAGAGGAAGTGTATGACACAATGCAAGACACAACGCAGAGAAAGTGTAAGACACACAGCACAGTAAGACACAACGCAGAGGAAGTGTAAGACACACAGCAGAGTAAGACACAATGCAGAGGAAGTGTAAGACACACAGCATTAAGACACACAGCATTAAGACACACAACGGGAGGGGGGGGGGGAGAAAAAATACCAAAAAACCAAGAATTTGTGTTTTAGTGAGAGTTTTACAGCACTTGCAACATGAATAAGGTCATAGAAGTTTAGTTTTTGTAAGAGTTTTATGGCACTTGCAACACAATAAGGTCTGCAAATAAGTGCAGAAGATTAGAGGTGTTACAAGAGAGTAACAAACACAAAAAAGAAGGAGAGATAAGACAGATGTTTGATAAGAAAAAAGGAGCAAACCACACCAGAGCACCCGCTAACTGCCCACCCACCTTTCTCCGCTGCGGGAGCCGTCTGTCCCACTTCCCCCGCTGCCGCTGTTTCTCTCGTGTCCGTCTCCTCCCCCATCAAGGTCCGGGCTGTCCAGGAGATTCTGAGCGCACGTGTTCGGGTCTTGCTCCGCGTTGGACATGAAGAACTCCAGCACAAACTCGATCAGGTCTTTGAACTCGTCCTGGGAACGAAACAACAAAAAATGATGTTGGAAATATTTCATCACAAAAAGTCTGTTGATGACAATATTATTCTTTCATCCCACCAATGTAGGAAAAACTGGGGGCTGGCTTAAGGACATCACCAACAGTAATAAAAACTGCAGTAAAAGTAATCTATAGGCTCCATGAACACGCCCCAGCAGGACTAAAGCTATTTGCCTTACAAAGCATCAGACACGTCTGTCCTACAAACCACCCCACCACCCAGCCAACACAACACACAAGGACAAGACCTCACCCTCTGTCCCACAAC